CCCCAAAACCCCAAAACCCCAAAACCCCATATTTATCTTAAGTAATAGAAATAGTGTATTGAGTTATCTGAGATTTTATCTAAATGCAATTAGGAAGAAATTCACTCCTGCGAGAGTTATCACAGCAGCTCCTAGTCCAATTGATGTCCAAAGCAACCAGTGAGGGTAATCTCCGACTGGAGCTGCATGAATCTCATAGTCTGAGACCTGGTGAGGATCTTTATTAAAGATTGAAATAAAATGAGTTCTCTCTGTTCCTTTCACAATGAACTTTACATCATGTCCAGAGTGATATAAATTGTGCAAATCTCTTGTTGGAATTTCACCCTCCATCGCAAACACTTCAAGAATTGTATTACCACCAATAATTGATACCTCAAAGTCTTCAGTGCTATTCCAGGTATAATGAGCCCATGTCTCTGGAGTGAGTCTTAAAGCTGATGTTTTGAGAATATCTGGCTTGATTGAGCAATCAGCTCCATAAAATCCTTCATCTCAATGACATTTTCCATTAATGCATTGCCCATTCTCTGAACAGTTTTTCATGTAATAGCAAGATATTTTATCTAGCCTACAAGACAGAGGATCATCAGCGTGGCAAAGCAACTTTTGGGAAGAAATCATATCCTTAATCATACTTCTACTCATCGCTAATTGAGTAGAAGGCACAAGATGACCAGCAGTATAAATTGTCAGATAATGAAGATTCTTGAACTGTCTAAAATTACCTCCAACAGTGAGTTTATCATCTCCATCTCTTTTGTAATAATAGATACTTCCAGGATCTGAGTGAAAGTCTGGCATATATTGCCACTGGAGCTCATTCATCCACTCTTGCACTCCCACTGGCCCATCAATTCTATCTAAATTTCCAACAAAGAGAAGGATCGGAAGGCCTTGTTCAAGTAATTTGTCATACAATGAGGTATAGCTTTTCATTCCATCTGATAACAAATTATCATAGACTGTATGGTTCTTGTAGGCATACTTTCTTTCCTTTGTAGATAACTCACTCACATGAAGTTGATCACAAACCTAAATTTATACTATAAGTAGATACCTCAGGATCGTTAAGATATTCTTCAAGATCTGCTTCTTGGGTTGAGGAATTGGTAGCAGGATACCTCGCATCATATCGATCCATCCCTCCATCAACAGTGGTAATGTAGCTATTGATCTGAGCGCATACCTTTGGTGCTTCAGTTAGGTTTGCTCTGGTAGCTTCTTCACATCTCTTTTCAAGAATATCTAACTGAGGGATGTATTCAAACTGAACTGTCCCTAATGCTAATGAAAGAGTCCTGGCATGCATTCTTTGAGTCTAAAAATTATAGAAAATGATTACATATGGATCAACATATCCATTGCCGACTATGATCCCTTTTAGCGGAATCTGGTCTGTCTCTGCATTGTCCTTATTGTACTCCAAGAATGCATCGGCTATGTTTGGCTGGTATTTGCCTCCGTAGCTTTCTCCAGTAACATAAAGGTCTCTGTTTCTCATCTCAGGATGCTTTTGATAAAATCCTTTGATAAATGCGATAGAATTCTCTCGTACCTGCTGTTCAGAAGTATAAACTTGATCTCCAAAGCTATAACCAACCCCAACAGGTTGGTCTAGGAAGATTATATTAGCAGCCTCGGTCCAAGCTTGGCCGGTGAGCGAATGGACTTGGATGTCTCCACTACCAGTCCTGACTAACTTGAGTGGGCCTAATTCCATCAAATTTCCGATCTGGCTAGATGCTCCAGGTCCTCCGTTAAGCCAGATAAAAAGTGGAGCAGTGTCACTTAGAGATTCGTCTCTGAAGAACCAATAATATAGACTAGAGTCTGTTTGCTGATGAACTTGGACAAATCCTGAGTACATGCAAGGAAAAGTATAACCCAAATGATCAAATCCTTTCAAATCAACTACCTTATCTTCCATCTCTGGGCATTCTTGAGCATAAATGTATTCAAATAAGCTAACAGTCAGGAAGATAACAATATTGCACAACCAATAGCTTTTGTTAAAGATTGCCATATCTTTTAAAATATACAATCTTGGTTAACATATTGGGGTTTTGGGGTTTTGGGGTTTTGGGGTTTTGGGG